ATAGTCCTTGCTTTGCCACGGACACGCTCCATCTCTTGCCACAGGATCACCTTTGGAAAAGGGAAGGTCTCTGTCACCCTGTTCAGGGTCGGAAAACCAAAGGTTGCTTTTCAACGTTCGCTGGACGACATCGAACAAACCGTCTCCCAACAGCTGCCTCGCTTTCCCTGTTTGCAAATGAGGGATAACAACACCTCTCCAGTCAAGTCCTTGTGCTAAAAACACCACAGAAGACCCGGGGTTGTTGTTGGAGAGGCAGGAATTCCTGAGCCAGGGCAGGAACAGCCATTATTTGCATCACTTGTAGCTACTGGGTGTTTTCTGAACCAGCCTCACTCCATCCTGTCAAAGACAGCGCTCCTGGCTGCTCTCCTGGAGGTGCTTCTTCAGCCCAAAGCTGCACGTTAATGACTTAATTGCATGGAAATTGCTGGAATCTGTAGGTAAGTCAAGAGTATCCATTCATATGAGCTGTGTTTGAAGCACAACCTAATTGGAAGCGTGGTATTCCCAGGGCTTATTTACAAGGGGAATATTTCCACAATAGCTGTTGTGGAAGAGCCCCTATTTATTATAATCAAGCCCTGTCTCTACGATCATTAGCAGAATGAGAGCGTGGGCACTTTAATTCTGAAAGAAAAGAGACTTCATTCCTGGATAACCAGCGTGTTTTCAGAGCGGGATAATTACCCCAAAGTGGTTTTTATGGGGTGTGCACTTCAGCTTTTTCCCGTAGAGCTGCTCTGCTACATTTCCCCTCGTGCAGACAGGCTCTCCAATCTACGATTTGCTGCTCAGATATGCCAAAAAAAAAAGCTCATTTGCTCTGATTTTGTGAGCTTTGCCAATGCCTTTGCCCGGGGACGGTGATTTGAATGGCGAGAGGTTTCTGCACCGGCTGGAGGGAGGTTTGTTTTTTTTTCTCAAACTGCTGAACTTGCCAATATTGGGGTTTTTTTGTTAATTGGCAATTCCTATTGACTGCTCTGGACCAGCAGAGACCTGGAGATTGCAGTGGGGATGAAATCAATGTGTCCCACCTTTTCACTCCTGACAGCTACAATAATCACCTCATTTAGGAGGAACTTCATCGGGACAAACAGGCAGCAAATCTCCCCCAGAACTGTGACCTCGCTGACTTTCAGGGCTGGGCTCTAATTGCTAAACCACTGCCTGGTTTCACTGACAAGCCCTTTTCCCTTCCCTCCCAACCCAAGCAGAGCTACAGGTGGGAATTTATGTTTTCTTTAAACAAAAGGGGGAAAAAAATCCAATGTAGTCTGGGCCGATGCAGCACATGAATGCTGAGATCTTTCTTGATTAATAATATATGACACGAGGAGGCTGAAGGGTTGTGAGAACATCATTTTCTCCTCACACAGCCTGCAAGAAAGGATCTCAACCTGAAAGCTGATGGATTGGGGCAGAAATCTATTTTTATTTTCACATTTCTTTCACCCTGTTTTAGGACCCTCAGGTGTCTCTTGGGGGGGGGGAGTTCCTTGACAACTCCTTTCCTGAGGTAGTTTTACCTGCAACCCCTTCCCACAATTTATCCCCTGGTCTTCTCCGAGTGCTCCTTGGGAATTCCTAAACCCAGCAGATTTCCCGGTGCTCAGGGCTGGTGCACACACAGGTCTCTCCAACTGCAGGTTTAACATTTGAAAAAAATACCACGAGTACTTTGTTATTTCGTTTCCAACATTAGCAGAAATGTCAGAGGAAAGGGTTCAGCTCACACCAATCTCTTCCAGGTGTAATTGCCTCGTCTGTAATGCCTTTATATTGGTTGTAATGAAATTACCTTTGACTTCCATCAGTGTAAATGGGAGCAGAGTGAAGGCAGAGTTTCCATCTCACTGCAGGAGGAATTCTGCCTGGATAAAGAGAGCCTAATGATTTTGGCATCTATCAGTCAGTTCAATAAAATATATTCCCCTCTTTACACAGCTTGTCACCCCCCACAGCAGCTGCAGTAAACTGAAATTCTGGGCAAAGAATCAGCTCCAAACCACCCCCTTGTTGCATTAGATTTAATTCTGGGTTGTTTTTTTTAATAAAGCCTTACCAGACTTAATTCTGCTTTTCTTATAAAGCCTCACCAGACTTTGCCTGAAAACAAAACTAAATAAAACTGTGCTGAACCATCAGGATCTGGCCCTATGGTTAATCACTCACCTGGATGACCTTCTTATTCCTATTTACCATTGCACAAGTGTGAATTAAACCTGGTTTCAGTTGTGTTTTTGGCTGTCCTGCCTGACAACGATCAGCCTCTCCTCCCAGCACGCCCCTGCCATCAATTCTCTCTGTCTCTTTGAATAAGAATTAAGAAGCTCCCGGGGCAGGAGAAGAAGTTGCCTCGACGCTGGGAATCGAGGCAGAGATACGATTCAAATGCCTCCTTATTGTTTTCTGCCTCCTGACATTTCCCAAAGTTGTGCTGAGTGCTGCTGCAGGAAGAAAAAAATAATAACTGAGATTGAGTTAAGTGGAAAAGTACTGCTGCTTTTCCAATGTCAAAGCCACACAATGTATGGTAATGGAATCCCTGGAGGAAAGCAGAGGGGAAAAAAGTGAAGTGTTGCTCTTCAAAAGCAGGTAAAACACGGTGGAAAAGGATGAGCCGTTCTCCTTCTGTAAACCATTTAAAAACCCACGTTATTTGGTTTATTTTTTTTTTTTTTTGCCCCTTTGTTTTACTTCTCCTTACTGAGGGAATGCTGGTTTTACAGCTGTGCAATCCCTGGCAAAGCAGGGAGGTGAGACTGACCCCAAAAAAAAAGTTTGTTGATGCAGTTGGTGACCTGGTTTAGTCCTGGTTTAATCCTGGCTTTGTGGTGGATTTGGCAGTGCTGGGTTAAAGCTTGGACTCGGTGATCTTAGAGGTCTTTCCCAACCTAAATAATTCCATCCAGGTCAGAAAAAGGAATAGAAAACCCATAACTGATCCCATGGGATAATCTTTCAGCATGGCTTGTTTTGTTATTTGACTGATTCCATGGAAAACATTAAATTTCAAGGTGGTAGAGGAGCTTCCTAATCTAGTCAGGAATCTGTTAGGAATTAATCCCAGTTCCTTGAGCCCCAGAGCTGTGTTCACCTTCCAGGAGCTCCAACACCCTCCACAGCCTTCTCAGCAAAGCCCTGGGTATATTTTTTCATGAGGCCTCTTTTGTTCAGAGAGAGAATTTTCTGGTGGTGACAAAACATGTCGGAGAACTCTCCTTTTTTCCATCGTTGTTGAGTATTGTGGATGCACCAGACCCCGGGCTTAGGAAGCCTAAATGGGACTTAGCCAATCTTAACATCTCAGACGAACTTCCCGTGGGATTTCCCACATCCAGTTGTCCACAGGTATCTTCCAAACCCTCAGGTGAAGAGGTACAGGCTGGTTGGAATTAAAACCTTGAAGGCTTGTCCTCCTTTGGAAGCCTGGAAAACCTCAGGTGTAAAAGAGACATTAAAAAAAAACCACTCCCATTCCAACTCTTCCATGTTTAATTATGTTTTTTTTTCTCCCAGCCTTTCTGTAAGGAGTCCTTAGATCCCATCTTATTTTAACCCTATTTATTATTTTTCTCATTTTAATCCTATTCTTATTTTAAGCCAGATCCATTAAGTTCCCCATTAAGTGGATTCCTTGGGCAAATCAACTCTTGCCTCAGGTGATATCCAAGCCAGTAAATTCCTCCAGTTTGGGGGGAAAGGATAGGAAGGAATATGTGTTAAGGCATAACTAGGTTAGGAAGCTGCTCCACCACCTTTGATGTTTTCCATAAAGTCAGTGAAGTAACAAAACAAGCCATGCTAACAGATTATCCCATGGGATCAGTTATGGGTTTTCTATCCCATTTTCTGACCTGAATGGAATTATTTAGGTTGGGAAAGACCTCTAAGATCACCGAGTCCAAGCTTTAACCCAGCACTGGCAAATCCACCACTAAGCCAGATTGGATAGAAAGGATAGAAAAGGAAGTCCCAGAAGTCCTGCTGGCACTGAGGGGGAAGTGGGACCACTTGGCTCTCTTATTCCAAGTGGGAAGGAGAGGCAATGGATGCTCCAGCCCCAGGAAAACCCCTCGGATCAGAGCTCCACCTTCTCAAACCACAGGCAGCCAAGCATGACACGTGTTGGACACAAGACTTCATCAATTCTAGTTCTCACAAAAATAGTTCATCCTGCTGAATTCAGCTTTGGATATTTTCTGGTTTGTGTAACCAGGAGCTCCAGGCAAGAGAAGCAACAAGAACTTGAACTGAAATAAGTAAAAATTCCTGGTCCTGGCAACAAAACTCTTGTATCTTTAGGGGAAGCAGCAGCAGCACCATCAATCCTTCTGGAATGAGACATCAGCCATCCCATTTCAAGGCTTCCCTCACAGAAAATGGGGCATAAGATTGAGCAGCTGAACAGCCCTTTTGGCCTCAAATTTAATTTACTATGAGCTGATAGAAGAGAGGGGTGACATGACACTTGTGATTCTGTAGCGCTTTTGACAAAGCAAATCTGTCACTGGCAAACGCCAAAAACTCCATTTTCCAGCAGGAACCGTGACCCAGGGATGCTGAAATCAGGCATGTAACAACAAAGCCCTCTTACCTCACAACCTCAAAGTTTTGCTGCCAAGAGGAGAAGGAACTGGAATGATCTGTACTCGGCCAGCAGCTCAACGGACATGTTGGAGGAGATTCCAAGCACCGGTTGCCTGGTTGGCATTTTCTCCCAGGTAACGAGTGACAGGGTCAGAGGGGAGGTTCAGGCTGGACCTTAGGAGGAATTTCTTCCTGGAAGGGGTTCTAAACATTTGAAGGGGCTGCCCAGGGAGGTGGTGGAGTCCCCATCCCTGGAGGTGTCCAAGGAAGGCCTGGCCGTGGCACTCAGTGCTCTGGGCTGGGGGACAAGGTGGGCATCGGGCACAGGGGGGATCCATAGGCTGAGGCTTTTCCAACCTCAGGGATTCTGG